CGATTACCTCCTCTGAGCCCTTCGTATGTAGCCCCTAATTGAATAAAAAATGGTTTACCCGTAGATGAGGCATCATCGTTTAGCCAGAATTTTCGATGGCCCTTTGCGAATGATAAATTTTGGATCTCCTAGCCAAAACTTAAAACCACGTCGATATGATCGGAGCAGCCAGCAGAGTATAGTAGTGGTTTCATGAATTCTCCATAATGCAGGAAAGTACAAAGGGAACAGGAGAAGGATAACAGAAAAGGATTAGAATATTAAAGAATACGCAGAAAGCACCCAAAACCTACAGAAACGAACTTGACCATAGTGGAATCATAAATCCGTACATTTAAAGTTTCAAATTTCTTCGCTCTATGTTTTATGCCGGCTTCTGAGCATATATCGCAAATGTAGCTCTTATCATTATTGAAATATATTTCCTTCAATTACTTTTTTTCTCGATCAATGTTGCCACATGTTTATTTTTACTTTTTTAAGAAAAGACTGTACGACATAGTAACTATGAAAAATTGGTGTCATTCCTGCCATTCCTGTGGATCACGGTTTGCCTTTGTTTTGATGTGAGATAGATATATATAGCAAAAGGGAGCCTTATATGCGTTACGCTTTCTCTTCCTATTTTCTTCATTGATTTTTCAATGTCTTGTTTGCTTGACTATGCATTTTCTCTTAAGAAGGCACATAAATATGCGGACCTCTGAAAAGTGCCCAAATTAATATCATTCTTTGACTCAACATTTGGTAACTATGGAAACATCTGCCAGCGCATATTTGATAAAACGGCTAAGTAACTTATTTTGTCCAACTAGTTGCCGCGATGGATGACGGAGAAGGTCAAGAGGTAGCTGTCTTCTTCAAATATTATTTTTTAAGCAAGCCGCCGCCTTCTCTTCAATTGAAGCAGCTGCCGTTCTTAAGGATGTAGGCCCTGTTCCCTGTAGTTTATACCGTAGACCGTCGCCCTTTGCCTTGGGAAACACGAATTTTGCGCTTCTAAAATAGAACAGTGGACGTCTGGTATAATAGACCAATGCCTTATTCAGTTAGCCAAGCTAAACAGGCCTTTCAAATATATTGGTTTGTGACTTCTTATATAATTTTTTCCCCATCAGTCACGTGCGTCATCATGCAAAAAAATGGAACTAGTCTTCACACTGCCAGCTCCTGTTACTGGGATCTGAATACCGACGGTAAATTAAATATACTTTTTTTGCCGACGACACTTATTTTAAGTTGTTTTCATATAATAAAGTATTTGGGCCAATTAACGCAGACCACTAATTTCTATTAATTTCATAGTACTGATCGTTACACGGCCGTAGTGTTTATTGATCTCCATGGCGCCCCGGGCTTAATAGGTCCTATTTGGCGGACGCTTAGTGTGCTTAAATGTCTTTTGTCACAGAATACAGTAGTTGCCGGTTATTAAGCCCACGGATAATAGGCCT